AGTGTTAGCAGACCTCTATTTACTTGGAAAAGAAGAAAAAACAATGAAGGACCTAAGCATCTCTTGCTTACCAGTAAATAATCCACATTTCTTAAGTGCCAAACCTCTGTGTTTCTTAAGTGACTAAGCTATGGCTCAGATATGCTGAAGAAACCAGTTAAATGGCAACACAAATCAAAGAAAATTGATGCACATATATCTCAATGGCTAAAACCAATAATAGTGTTAAAAAAAAAAAAAAAAAAAAAAGTTGCTTAAGCAGTTTGCCTAAAATTAGGCATCACTGCCTACATGAACAATTACTGGCAAAGAAGTTTTTTCTTTTAAGGAAATATTTCTTATGGGATCTCATTATAAAGGAGCATAAAAGGTATTTGGATTGCCAAAGAGAAATAACAGAATATGCATGTCTTTACTTGGTAAAAGAGGTCACAAACATATTCAATACTCTGTGTACAAAACAGAAAATTGTGCCTTTTCTTCTTCTGCTGAGGGTCCTGTCTACAGAGCACATAAGAGTTTGCTTCTGTTTAACACAAGTGTATCTGGACAGTTATCAGTTCAGTGTTTGTGATACAAGAGAAACATTTAGTTGCTCTTTGTTTCCAGTACTGTATTTCTGGTAGAGATACTGATTTTTTTAGTGCTTCATCAGAAAACATCTGTTGGTGTAAAGGAAATATTTTGGAGAAATGCTTCTCAAGAGAAGCTTTACAGAAATACTGGCACAGCGGTAAAAGCAGTGGTGTCATCGCACCTCCCAACCCTGCAGATTCCCAGACCTCAGCCCGGTCTCTCAGTACAATGCCATGTGATGGTAGAGCCAGGAAACAGTGTGGGGATGTGAGAAATTCCAGGCTTTCTAACAAATATTTATGTTTTGAAGCTTTGCCCACTGCCATTGGACATGGAGCTCATTTTCACTCCGTTGTGGGAGCTGCTTGCCAGCAACTTTATGATAAGATTCTTTGCAGTATTCCCAAGTTCTTCAAGAGTCTTTGGAAATCAGGTTCCTAGCTGAAGTGCAGACTGTATCAGAACTACAAAACCAGGTTGACTTCTCAAAAAAGAATGTTTTGTGAATTTGCTTTTGTCAAAAACTTGAAAAATGTTAGGGCTCGTTCCAAAGTACAATAGAAACATTATTAAGGTGTAGAATTGCCTGTTGCATTTCAGCCAGTTTTAATTCTCTCTGTTGTTTTCAGAAAGGGTTTTGTGTGTCTGTGTGATTGGCAGGGAGTTCAGCTATCAAGGGTAAATTTCATTCTAATTTTCAAACAAAACATCATGAGATTCTATGAGAGAGCATCAGTAAATGCAGATGTTATAACAACATTAGCAACTGAAAGATATTTTTCTATGCTCATGGATACTATGAATCTTTGAAATCTTAAAAAATGAAGAAGCAGAAATCAAAAGCACATAATACAGTAATGCAATCATGCTTTCCTACAAGATCTTTGCATTGAAGGCAACTCTAAAATGCAATGGTCACAGCTGATGTCAGCAGCATCCTTTAGTTCATTAATCCTGCTGGAACACTATCAGATGTGACAGAACTCTTGTTGATAGCACCACAATGATACTGGTTAAATAGAAAGTGACCTGAAGAGTAAGAAATCAAGTAAGACAGCCAGGACACCTGCATGGTTGAGTAGGGTACTACTGAAAAAACTTAAGTGGAAGAAAGAAGTTTATAGATAATGGAAGAAGGGGTTGACTATTTGGGAAGAACACAAGAATGTGGTAAGAGGGTGTAGGGATGTAACAAGGAAAGCTAAGGCCTTAGAATTCAAACTAGCAAGGGAAGTCAAGGACAATAAGATAGGCTTCTTCAAGTACATTGGGGGTAAAAGGAAAACCAGAGGAAATGTGGGCCCACTGCTGAATGAAGTGGGTGCCCCAGTGATGGAGAATACGGAGAACGTGGAATTTCTTAATGCGTTAGTCTTTACAGCTAAGGCTGACCCTCAGGATTCCCAAACATTCCAGACCACAGAAGAAGTCAGGAGTGAGGAAGACTACCTAGATTGAAGAAGACTGGGTTAAAGATCAGTTAAGGAAACTGGACATCTCCAAAACCATGGGCTCCAATGGGATGTACCTATGTGTGCTGAGGGAGCTGGCAGAAGTAATCACTAGACTGCTCTCCGCTGTCTTTGAAAATCCTGGAAAATGGGTGAGGTGCCTCAGGACTGGAGGAAAGCTAATGTCACTCCAGTCTTTAAGAATGTCAAGAAATAGGATCCACGTAACTACAGATGGGTCAGCCTCACCTCCATCCCTGGAAAGATGATAGAGCAGCTTATTCTGGAGGTCATGTCTAAGCACATGGAAGAAAAGAAGGTTATCAGGAGTAGCCAGCATGGAGTCACCAAGGGCAAATCATGTTTGACTAATTTGATAGCCTTCTATGATGTTGTGACAGAATGGATAGATGCAGAGAGAACAGTGGATGCTGTCTTCCTCGACTTTACCAAGCCTTTTGATGCTTGTCTCCCACAGCATCTTTGTGGATAAACTCATGAAGTGTGAGTTAGAAGAGCAGACAGTGAGATGGATTGAGAACTGGCTAAACAATAGAGCTCAGAGGGTTGTGATCAACGGTGCAGAGCCCAGTTGGAGACCTGTGACTAGTGGTGTTCCCCAGAGGTCAGTACTGGGCCCAGTCTTATTCGCCATCTTCATCAATGACCTGGATGAGGGGATGAAGTGTATCCTCAGCAAGTTTGCTGATAATACAAAGCTGGGAGGATTGGCTGGTACACCTGAAGGCTGTGCGGCCATTCAGAGAGATCTAGACAGACTGGAGAGCTGTGCAAAGAGGAACTTAATGAGTTTCAACAAGAATAAGTGTAGAATCCGATACCTGTGGAGAAAAAACACCACACACCAATACAGATTAGGGGTTGACCTCCTCCAAACCTGGGGCATAGGAGGGGGTACTTGAAATGCCAGTGGCAGGCCATCTTGCTCTAAGTCATGTCAGGTAAATGACACTGGACTACATTAAGAGAGACTTGTCTCACACAATCACCCAGGTGTTTGGCTATAAAGCCTGCCTAGAAGCACTAGTATCAAACAACAGGTCAAAAAACATTTGTCTTGAGACCTCTGAGATATTTTGGAGGAATCCTTTCAGGCTGAAGCTTGTTTACTGATGGATACTTTAGTGTAAGTGTCACTGCAATTCTTAATTGACTTCAGACATAATGACATCTTCCAGGTTCAGATGCTTTGGCGATGTTTCTAAAAATGAATGACCTTGGAGTTTTAAACTGATAAAAATGAAAAGTAATTTACCAAAAATTGGCTCAGCTCTTGTCTACTCTCATTTAAAGAGTTTAGACACGTTGCTTACACAGGAAATGAATACATAAAAAGGAAACTACAAGTGACGGACAGTTCTGTCCATAACGTATTGGACAAAGACTGAGGAGACCTAGGCTAACTTCCCAGCTCTCCAGTAAATCCTCCAAGTTTGGGTGAGGCAGTCAGGGAGCCTGCAAGTCTCTGCCTGCATTTCCTCACCACCAGAAGGGCAGCGGATGTGCGAGAGCTGTGGAGCGGCTGGAGACAGGCCAGTGGCCAGAAGCAGGATAGCGGCGTTCTTGTGGCACTGTGCCAGAGGTAATAAACGCTCAGCAGGACTCCTTCCTTCAGCACAGATCTGTGGGACTGTGGCTGTAATGCTGGGGAAACAAGCTGGTGAGCCTGCATGGAGCTGCACCATATGGACTTCCAAGCCCAGGTCTCCAGTAGCTTCAGGGACTCTGCTTTGTGCCCCACTGCACAAGGTAAACATGCCCTCAGATTTCCAACTGTTCAGTGTTAGCACTTCTGTATCACTCTGGGATAATTTGACAACACTTTTATTAATGTCTGCAAGACTGGTTGAATGGAAGACAACTGCTATATAAGCACAGAGGTAAACGCCTGAAGGTTCAAAGTGAGTCTGTTTGACAGCTGCTGAATTCTGTCACTGCCCCACAGGGAAGAACACAGTGACCATCCTCAGACTGGTCAATGCAATGTGCACTTGCTACCTTTGGGTTTCACACTTAAGTTTGTCTAATGTATGGCCTAAGGATAACCTGAAGAATAAAAATCAGGACCAAGTGGAGCACTGGTTTGTGGATAAGCTCATGAAGCGTGAATGACCAACCAGAGTTACAAGAGTACTTGTAACACTGGAGTACAAAGTGACGCCTGGTGGAATTTAATTTGGGTTTGGAATTAAAGCTCACTGGACTGAGATTTCTGAGGAAAGCTCTCTGCAGGCAGGTTCACAAGCAGCATGTGTGCTACAGGCAGGAAGTGTAATAGTAGACAACCCCCATGGAAATCTTTGTATATGGTGTAGAAAACTGCTGGGTTTTACATTTAAAATTACCACAAGAGTTAACAGATACAAAAGGGAAAAGTAAAAGGAAAAATACCATTGTGAATGTTTAATTAATGACAATTGCCAGAAAAGCTCTTCTTTGCCAATAACAAATGGGTGCCTGTGGCAGTTATTTCTCATTTTAAATACCTAATCTGATATTATATTTCAGCTCTAAGAACTAAACGAGAAAAGACGCTGTAATCTAATCATACCACAATCCAGGTGACATCTGTACTAGGCAGAATACTGTTGTTATTCTGCTGTCTAGTTGCTGTTGCTGAGAATGATGAAGTAGCGAAATTACATTTTCCCATTATTATTTCCAGACACTCTCTGGCAATGGTTTGTTGACTCTAATAAAGCTTCAGACAAAGCTGTCAGCAGAGGAAATGGCAGAAGGGGAGCAAGGAACAGCCTCCACAACAATACATGAATCTAAAGTCTCAGTGATAGGCTGTGCATTTTCTGATAAAATGCAATGTGTGTGTTTCAGAATCCATCATAAAGTTGCAGCTGAATTCTAGAGGGATAAATGTATTCCATCAAGTCATGGTGCTTCAGAGTTTGACAAACATAAACACATTATGAAGGATTAAAGCGCCAGAAGCCTTACCTGCTATAGTATTGAGGAACATCAAGTATTCAAAGTTAGATATCTCCCGTCTCTGCCAGCGCTGAGTCATGTTGGAGGATTTATAAAGCTGTCGGGGAGTGGCCAGAGAGATTCTCCTAGGAAATACATTTAAAGAATGATTTTTTAAGAGCCTCATTAAATGTTAAGATTTAGGGCAACAATATTAGTGTGATTAATTTCAGATTTTCTCAAGGGGTTTTATTTCCTTTAATGAAGTCAAGAAGACACTATAACCCTTATTTGAGAAATGACTGGAATGAAGATCTGTATTCTGTTTTACTCTACTACTGCACAGGAATAATTCAGAAGAATACATTTTGTGTTTTATTTTATTCCAAATCTGGGTAAAAGACTGGAAGTGAATGAAACTGCAGACCTCCTGGTGCCTGGTTTGTGTAGCAGGAATATAAGAGGAATACCATTTCCCTGTTTCAAAAGGATTTATTGAGATAAGTTCATTAAGGTGAGTGAGTTATAGTTGAAAGTGCCATATATTTCCAGCACATGGGTTGAAGATACTTATTCCACAATTTGTGCTCCTCATCCATGGGCTACCCATGATCCTTTCCTATAGACCAGTAAGCTTCAAGATTTCTATTTATAGCCTGGTTTCTGAAAGAGGCAAGGTTTATTCAATTATCTGCTCACATGTCCATCTGCCTGTCTCTCCATAATAACTTCTGAATTGCATTTCATTTAAATTTGGAAGAGGAGAAAAAGCTTCCAAGATACTCATTTTCCTCATGTTTTCTAAAAATTATATGACTGGAGAAAGGGAGAAAGAACAAAAATACCGTTTCAATAAAGAGAAAAGCAGAAAACTTCAGCTCTTCTATATTCAATTTCACAGCACTGCAATAGCCAAGTAGTGTGCATCAATCTCTAAATTACCCACAGTATATACTGTCCTTGGTTGGTAAAATGTAGGGGACTAAATTCAGCCTAGACTAATGCATTAAAGAAAAAAATCTGCAACAAGTAAAAAAAGCTTCATTGCTCTCAACTAATTTCTAGAGAAAGTAGTTCTTGCTGAAAAAAAAGACAAGGATAATCTTCAGAAGCAGAAAAAAAATTATCTTCTCAGATACCTTTTTTGACAGAAACATAAATCTTATAAATGGATCAAAATAGAGAAAATGGTTATGCCTGCTAGAAAAAATAAAAAATAAAATTAGAAAAAGGATCCTTAATATTTAGCCTATTTGTGAATTAAAAAAAATATATTAGTATTTCTAAAAGCTTGCTAAAAGTAAACAGGGACTCCCAATGCTTCAGCTTTCAGTTGCACACTGAACACAGTAAGTGTACTAATTCTGGACTTTGAATGCTGAGTATTTTCTTCAAATAAAGTCACATACAAGGCATCAAATTGGGCAGCAATTACAAAAATGTGGACCACATATTTCTAATTATACATGTACATACTTCTACACATCCCCTAGACCCTATTTCCACAGAAAGGATGAGTATTGGTATGTGATTGGAGTGTACAGTTATCAGAATTACATGCCTAAATTGTCGATGTGTATGTTGTCAATATCTGCCATACTCAGGGTTACAGATTGGGCACACAAAAATGTATATAAGTAAGCACTTATTTATTTATTTAATTAATTAATCTTCGCATTTAGCCTTTTATTTTCTTAAAAAAAAAACATATCTCTATATTTAAGCAAAATAGAAGTACATAAGGTCTTGCCAGCTTGGCTGCCCTTATCTTACACTAGACTCCAGGATGTCAGTGGGAGATACAATTTATTAATACAAGGAAGAATTTACAAGAGTTTTATAATTTTTTTCCATTATGCTTCTTAAAAATAATAATAATTAAAAAACCTAAAGAATTATCTGAATGTAGTAATACTTTATATTGCATTTTATAAGATAACAACTACTTTTACAAACTCTTAAAGATGTGTTGTTCCCAGTAAACTATGACTAATACTACAAATACTAATATACAAATTATTAAATACAGAAAATAAAAATACTAAAGATGTCATTAAATTTACAAAGCATTTGTGTCACAGACTTTCTGCTCCTCCCATGAAAAAACAAATATGCATCCGTACAGCTTAGCAGCTGCTTTTAGATTTTACCCACAATTTCCCAGAGTCTCAAAAATCTATGAACTGTCAAGTGCTGGACTTCACATTTGAATACCCGATTTGAACAAACTCTGCAGAAAATCAAAATATACTAAAAAAGCTCCTTATTTACTATATATCTAAGGTGTTTGAGAAATTTGCAGCTATTTCAGCAGAGTGGAAAAATTATGCAGAATATATTGGTTCCACGCCTGCTTGTTTCAGTTAACACAGGAAGACCCACTGTTATGTGTTTTGCTAAGCCCACCCCACTTTGATCAACTCGTTTCCTTCCTTCCATATGCCATCACCAAAATGAAGATGCACAAATGAATGTGCTTCCTTTCCTTCTAGACAACCATGCAATACCTACTCAAAATGGAAACTGCAGAAGACCCTCTGATGTACAACAGTATAATCCAATTTTTCAAGTTTACTATGCTTTAAATGTGTTTTGAAAAAACTTCATGACATTTTTTTGAAGGAAGGGATGTTATAGGTCCCTTATGTGGAGCATGATCTACTCCCTTTCACATCAACTTTAATTTACTTAGCTAGCATTCAATCTCATATAAAGAACCATTATGTCTCTTGTAAAAAATGTTGCACCTGCATGGAGTTTTCCCTTGTGTTGCAACTTTTTGGGAGGAAAAAAAAAAAAAAAGGCTTGGGCAAGTCACTGGCTTCTGACAAGAAACTCACTAATATTTGCTTTTAATCAAAACTCTAAGATGGGTTTTATGCTTTGATGACATGAAATCTTTGTTTTTCTACACGTCTCCCCTTCCTAAAATCCAACCTTTGCAAGCAGTCAGACTGAGATCTGGAAATTCATAATCAAGCTCCTGATGTGGACTAAGTGGAACTGTAGTGGTAACTACAGAATGTAGTTACTGTAACAGACAAAACCATTTCTTCTTTCAGTAAAAACTTAATTTAAAAAACAAACAAACAAACAAACAACCCCCACACAAATCTTCAATTTCTTCACTTTAATAACCGGAGTCACTGTTTTCTCTACTGCATTAATAGTGCACAGAATTTCAGAGGAAGGTGCTAGCACGTGTTTAGTGGTGAAGCATGATACTGTATCTTTTACCAATTATTTTATGTCTGTACACCTATAAAACTGTCAGGTAACTCACAGCTGGTTTCTAAGATGTGATGTTACCCTCAATAAAAATGCACCAGTAAATTATGCCTGAGTTTTTATAACACTAAAAAGTGATCTACTAATAGTTAATATTTTAATTTTGTTAAAATGAGGTTATTAAGCTACCTGTGTGATATCATATGGAACTTTAGAAAAAAGTGAAATAAAAGGCACAGAACTGTCTGCCTAGTTGTATCATATGGCAAAGTCATAAGGAAACTGCAACCAATGCAACATGTTTCACTAACTGAAAATGCATTTATCAAAGACAGATGAATTTGATTACCAAAGCAAATCAAATTCTTCAATATGCGACTAATTGTAAGAACATAATTACTTCTTTGTAACATTAAGCACAGGTATGAATCTTTTGTTGAATCAAAGCATTAGACAGGCTGTTGGAAAAGGTAGCAAAGAACCAAACTGAAGACTTGCTCAGAACAGCAGGTCTGTAACAGTCTTGGGAAGAGATACCAGTTGGCCTGTTTCTAATTCTTTGTGCCATTAGAAGATCATAAGTATTGCTTTTACCTTCAACTTCCTTCCATCTTTGTTAATCACAAGATTTCTCCATGAAAAAAGAAATGCACTTAAAATCCAAGTACTTCATTAAAAGTAATTTACTCCTTAAGAATGTTTTCACCATGAATGCTACTCTTTATGATAATGCAATGTAATGTAATTAACTTCAGATTAAATGTTTGTCAGAGTAGTATCAGAGAGGAAATATTGCTTACAAAAGTAAAACTAAAGCAAAAAATCCAGAAAGATCTGCTTTTGCTAAAATAAAGTATAGCTTAATCTGGAAAGCTGATTATAAAAAAGGATAACATTTTACTCAGTATAGCAGCTCCTTTTGGTTACTCGACATAACTTCTCCTTATGTTTGTTATACAAATAATAATAATTTTAAAAATTAGCATCCAAGAGCCAACATATTCATAGGAAGGGAAAGTATATTCTAACATCAACAAAACAGTATCTACACAGCAGTGATAGAGCCTGATTTTCCCTCAGTTATTCCACTGAAATCCTACTGAAAATAATAAGGCTAAGCAGACAGAAAAAAAGGAAAAACCATGATTACAAGGTCTTTATTGTGCATAAAACATACCATGATTATGAAAAAATAAGAAACAAAAACAACTTCAAGACCATATGCTAGACTTATTCTGAAGGCTAACAAGCCCGTTTTCAATTCAAATTGAACTTTAATAAAAAAGTTATGGAAATAACTGCATATAATATTGAAGATGAAACTTTTCTAAGTAATTATGTATCAACAAACTTTTTCAAACAATTATTCACTGAATAATGCACAAAGGGTATGAATTTCAAAAGTAAAAAATGTCACTGTAGATATGAAATTCTGATTGAGAAATTTGCATTTTGTTTGTTCTAGAACATGTGGCCATTTTTACTGCAGAGAAGAATACTATTACTTTCTATTTAGAGACAGCAATTTCTTTAATTTGAGTATTTGGAAGAGCAATGCAAATATTAACAAGATGCACCTTCCAAAGAAATGCCCCAACTTCCCCTTGATCTCAGTGAAAACTTGAAAAATTTAGCAATTTGCCTACGAACTTAAGCACACTCAGCTGATAAAGCCTTAGGTATCATGAGACCCCGGAACTCATGACATGGACTGATGTTTAGATGGGAATGAAATAGTTCTCCAAACCTACAAATGCTGTGACACTTCAGAGTATTTTCACATTCTGCACTGGGACAATACAAGGACAATATGAAGTTTTAGTTTGTAGGAAATTACTTCAAGAGATAGACACATCCCAGACATTACACTGATGATTAAGTGATTGGCTTTTGGCAAGTCAAGAAAACTGGAGATCTGAATTCAAAGCACCATATTTTGTGAATTTCCTGCTGTTTCCTCACTCCTATATATTTACTTATTCATCTTTTATTTTGACCAGAAAGTAATCCTGAACCTAAACATTCTTCACCAAATTTCACCTGATATACTGTCTGAACCAATTTCAGGTTTGAAAAAACACTTCTAAATGGGGATGTCACGAGTTGATATTGGGGGGAATTCACACAGGGGGGGGAAAAAAAAAAAAAAAAAAGGAAAATTGGAGGCAGAAAATTCCTCCTTTGACTCACTTAAGTACACATTATGATCATCTTATCCATCATTGAAATATGAATACTTTTATAACATAAGTTCTAACAATTCCCAGCCTTATTTCTGACGATATGCTGGTTTTATATTGATATTGAAGAGATAATTTAAAATGTTCTTGTCCATAGTATGTGAAAATCTCTAAAACTAAGCCTTAGTTGGTTTTTTCCAAAAATTATATTCTTAATTTTGGAAAAAAAAAAAAGAAGAATGCATGATACTAATAAATGGAAGAAATTTGGAAATTCCAAAATAGCCACTATAGTGATGAGCAATGAAATAAAATCCACACATTCATATAAGAAGGCAAGTGAGAAGATAGATACAAACAATAATTTCCATTCAGCAATCACGAAACCTAGTCTAGTTCCATATCCTGCACAACAGCAAGGATGAACATTTGTCTATACATCAATAAACCAGACTGAAAACCAGACTTTGAAGAGATAAGGAAAAAAAAAAAAAAAAAAGGAAAATTGGAGGCAGAAAATTCCTCCTTTGACTCACTTAAGTACACATTATGATCATCTTATCCATCATTGAAATATGAATACTTTTATAACATAAGTTCTAACAATTCCCAGCCTTATTTCTGACGATATGCTGGTTTTATATTGATATTGAAGAGATAATTTAAAATGTTCTTGTCCATAGTATGTGAAAATCTCTAAAACTAAGCCTTAGTTGGTTTTTTCCAAAAATTATATTCTTAATTTTGGAAAAAAAAAAAAGAAGAATGCATGATACTAATAAATGGAAGAAATTTGGAAATTCCAAAATAGCCACTATAGTGATGAGCAATGAAATAAAATCCACACATTCATATAAGAAGGCAAGTGAGAAGATAGATACAAACAATAATTTCCATTCAGCAATCACGAAACCTAGTCTAGTTCCATATCCTGCACAACAGCAAGGATGAACATTTGTCTATACATCAATAAACCAGACTGAAAACCAGACTTTGAAGAGATAAGGTGTACATTTTCTTTCTAGCCCTTCACTGGAAAGTATTTTTTTCCTGTAATGATTAAAAAAAAATTATAATACTTCCATTCCATGGTAACAGGGGATGTAGTACATAAAGAGTAATGTTTCTCAAACTAATCTTATGAAATAGAAAATTTGGAGTTTCATTGCAGAAATAATGTTTTAGTAGTGACACTGAAAAATATAATTTTTATAATATATTTAGCATTAACCATACAAATTATTTTAATTAAATTACCTGGCTTGTGGTAAACCATAGCTGGTTCCTACTCCAACACGTGGCAAGCTGTACACAACTTTTTTCACTGTTGCTTGGTCAGGAAAATTAAACATAACAGAAGCTAAACGGAGAAGAGAAAATAGGGACTAGTAAGCCATCTGCAGAAGTCTGTTTCTCCACCTGCATTTATTTTTAAAAAGCTTTTTGCTTTCTATTTAGAAAGAGAAGTCAGTTCCACTTTTAATCCTCCTGGGGATCCAAGTAACATCAGAAACTCCTGGTATACTTCATACCTAGGTATCATTAGCTGGTTAATATTTTGGCACCAACTTTCCCGTTTTGCAGAAGACCCCTGTGAGGTGTACTTCAGACAAATCCCAGCTTGCCATTAACCCATATAAGCCCTTATCAGCCTGCAAAGTTGTTCACTAGTTGGCATGGCAATTGGTCTTCTAACTGGTGCATTAAAATACACAGGATCAAAAATTGTTTAATTGTGCCTCTTCAGTTGAAATTTAAACTTAGATCAGACCTACTCTGGGCAAAAGACACACCTCACCAACCCATCAATTCTGGTTCAGATTAGCAGATACAGAAAAATGAGTGGATCCATTTATTGATCTGGTCCTTTTAACTTTAACTCAGTTTATGATTAGAAAAGAAAATTTCTTTTTGGATATTTCACTAAAAAAATAAAATGGAGGAGAGGGGTGAGATCATAGAGAAAAGAAAAATTCCTATCATACATCTGAAGAATTTACCAATTGCAACAATCTGTTCTTATAAATAAATCTCACTGTGCCACAGAAACCAGTGAGATTGATTTATGTGACTGACTTTAACACAAAATGCAAAGAATACATGCAAGAGTAAGCATTATTGGATACAGGCAAAAACACTTCATCAAAGGAGGCACAGAGTTTAAATACTAAGCTTGATAAATAACACACAAAATAACTACTAGCAGATTTTTATGCAACAAAATAAACAAAGACATACTTCTGTTTGCCATAAACACTTCCAAAGCTGTGTTCTGGAGAAGATAACGTCTTGAAAACACAGCCCGAATCTCGCTGAACATCCATTTTCCATGAAGGCCTTCTGTATAGGCGAGGACCTTTAAAGAAAGTCAAGGTGACAATTACTGGGAGGAATTTTTCATTAGAATATTGCATAAGAGGATAGTAAATTTTACCCATCTACGAAGTACAGTTCACTGTATCTCTTTAACACTTAAAAACCACAAGTTAAAATATATATATTTTTTTTAATGCAATTAAGTACAGGTGTTAGAAGAATTCAGCAAGTACAATAACCTGATATTCCTAAGATCCTGATGACAACTCCTTAAGAAATTGACAGCCCTACCCAAGGGGATGCATTATTTGACCTGATGGTCACAAATGCAAGGGAACTCATCAAAGATGTCAAAGCTGAAGGTAGTCTGGGCTGCAGTGACCATGCACTAGTGCAGTTCACTGTCCTAATGGGTATGTGGCAGATGAAAAGCATAGTCAGGACTCTAATTAGGAAAGCAAACTTCCAGCTCTTCAAGGACTTAGTAAGTAGGATCTCAAGGGAACAGCCCTCAGGGACAAGGGAGCAGAACAGAGCTGGCAGATCTGTAAGGATGCTTTCCATAGGGTACAGGAGATCCCCAGGTGCAGGAAATCAGGCAAGAAAGGCAAGAGACCAACATGGCTGAGTTGAGACCTGCTGGTCAAACTAGAAGGCAAGATGGAACTACACAGGCAGTGGAAGTGGGGACAGGTATCATGGGAAGCGTACAGGGATGTTGCCTGGTTTTTAAGGGACGAGGTCAGGAAGGCCAAGGCGGAGCTGGAGCTGAACTTTGTAAGGGATGTAAAGAAAAAGAAGGGCTTCTACAGGTACATAAACCAGAAAAGGAAGGTTAAAGAAAGTGTACCCCGCCAATGAGCAACAGTAGTGAACTGGTAACAACAGACAAGGAGAAGGCTGAAGTTCTCAACAACTTTTTTGCATCAATTTTCACTAGCAATCTCTCTCCTCGTGGCTCTCAAGTTGATGGCCCACAGGATAGAGACCAGGGAGACAAAGTCCCTCTCACCATAAGTGAAGACAAGGCCATCATCTGAGGAACCTGAACATACACAAGTCCATGGGACCTGATGAGATGCACCCCAAACTCCTGAAGGAATTGACTGATGCAGTTGCCAAGTTACTCTCCCTAATATTTGAAAAGCCATGGCAGTCAGATGAAGCCCCTAGTGACTGGAAGAAAGGAAACATTCTGCCTATTTTTAAAAAGGGTAGAAAGCAGGACCCTGGGACTACCAACCTGTCAGCCTCACCTCTGTGCCTGGGAAGATCATGGAACAGGTCCTCCTAGAAGACATGCTAAGGCAAATGGAGGACAGGGAGGTAATTCAGGACAGCCAGCATGGATTTACTAGGGGAAAATCCTGCCTGACCTACCTAGTGGCTTTCTACAATGAAGTGACTGCATTAGTGGACAAGGGAAGACCTATGGATGATCTATCTGGACTTCTACAAGGCCTTTGACAAGGTTCCCTACAACATCCTTCTCTCCAAGTTGATGAGATAAAGGTTTGATGGGTGGACTGCTCAGTGAATAAGAAATTAGCTGGATCATAGAATCATAGGATCATTAAGGTTGGAAGTGACCTTAAAGATCATCAAGTTCCAACCCTCCTGCCATGAGCAGGACATCAACAACCTCCCTGGGCAACCCATTCCAGTTCCTCACCACCCTTCTATTGAAGAATTTCTTCCTAATATCTAACCTAAATCTCCCCTCTCTCAGTTTAAAACCATTACACCTTGTCCTATCACTATCGTCTTTAATGGGTGGTTGCATCCAGAGGGTAGTGGTCAATGACTCGATGTCCAGATGGAAGATAGTCACAAGTGGTATCCTTCAGGGGTCCTTACTGGGACCAGTGTTGTTTAATTTCTTCGTTAACAATATTGACAGTAGCATTGAAAGCACCCTCAGCAAGTTTGCTGATGACACCAAGTTGGGTGGTGTGTTCTATATGCCAGAGGGACAGGACGCCATCCAGAGGGACCTCAACAAGCTAAAGAAGCTTTAGCCCAGGTGAACCTCATGAGGTCCTACAAGGCCGGTGCAGCCAGAGATACGAATACAGGCTGGGAGAAGTCATGCTGGAGAGCAGCCCTGTAGAAAAAGACCTGGGGGTATTAGTGGATGAAAAGCTGAACATGAGCTACCAATGTGCAATTGCAGCCCAGAAAGCCAACTGCATCCTGGGCTGCATCAAAAGACGTGGGGCCAGCAGGTGGAGAGGTGACTGGGCCCCTCTACTCTGCCGTGGTGAGACCTCACCTGGAGTACTGCGTCCAACTCTGGGGCCCTCAACACAAGAAGGATGTGAACCTTTTGGAGTGTGTCCAGAGGAGGGCAACAAAAATGGTCAGAGGGCTGGAGCACCTCTCTTATGAAGACAGGTTGAGGGAGTTGGGCTTATTCAGCCTGAAGAAGAGAAGGCTCTGCGGGAACAGAACCTTGTAGCAACATTCCAGTATCCGAAAGCCTATAATAAGGCTGGGGAAGGACTGCTCACTAGGGCATGTAACAGCAGGACAAGAGGTAATGGCTTCAAGCTAGAGAAGGGTGCACTAAGCTTAGATATTAGGAAAAAGTTCTTTAATATGAGGGTGGTGGATCACTGGAATGGGTTGCATAGAGAAGTGGTGGAGGCCCCATCCCTGAAGACATTCTAAGACAGGCTTGAGGAGGCTCTGAGCAATCTGCTCTAGTGTGAGATGATCCTGCTTATTGTCATGGGGTTGGGCCAGATGACCTTTAGTGGTCCCTTCCAACTCAAGACCTTCTATGTTTCTGTGATTCTATGATTCTATTTCTCCTGAATCACATCAGCTTATTTTCCTCAAGAAACCCCAAAGCTACAAGCAAGCACAGGTTAATAAACATAGTTGCAATTATGTTTAGTTGTGTTTTCTTCCAACAGTGTGCATGACACAACTGTTGGTTATGTGTTGCATGACAGATTTACTTCTGAGGCTATCCTGTGTAAAGTACAACCAAAATAATATAAAATTCTATTTACCACCATTTCAGGGTCATAAGTTAGAACTCTTTCCATTCCACTAATACATACAGAAATTAGCTAGAATAATATGTTGACAAAAACTTTTAGTTAAGTACATTTACTATCCCAAACAATAAACAAAATTTAACAATTTGTAATTTTGTGTTTTAAAACGATTGTGAAAATATTTTAAAATAAAATAGTTAAAAGCTAGCATTGCTTTTCCAATGTGTCCAATTTTGTTTCTCAACTGAAGGTGTTGGTCTAAGACTAGATATTAACACCTAAATAATCTTTTTCACTTCTTCTTCACTGTTCTGGATGTACAAGAGAACAGACAAAAAGGTGCAAGTTAATTAGGTACCAGCTTTATTAACTTCTCTCATCTGTGATTCATCAATTCAGCGCTATCATTGCATCAATCCCTTCCTAATCCTTTTCCTCAGCTGGAAGGCTGCCTTCAGCCCTCTGCTGAGGTTGACTCTGCCCATTACTAAGACCCAAACACTTCATTCTGTGAGGAGTCAACCTTTTCCCAGACTCTGCAAGCTGCACCTTCCCCTAGGCTTCCTGAGACACATGAAGCTTGGTGAAACAAAGAAACGCAATTAACACCTTCACTAAAGGGACATGCAGAAGGAAGTTTTCAGACTGAAGTGACTGAATTTCTCTGTTCTCCATAAGGTACACAGAAACTGTCGGAATCCCAGCTTGCAGTACTTTACTCACTTAGTTGAGGTCTTAGCTTTCTGCAAGCATGACCTCCCCCAACTTCTGAACATGGAATTGTTAAGGAGACCATATGTTGCTGCTGTCATCGATCCTTCATGCTTGAGGTAGTGCAAAGTGTCTTCCTTCACTTTATTCACTGATGTAGCTTCAGGTTAGTAACGTTTTCATGTAGGAAAAAGCTAATTTAAGTTTGTACATTCTGTGTTTAAAGAAATCCACAGATTTTTGTTAATCTCTCTCCATAATTTTTTTCTCATAACCATGATGAGTCTATTTCAGAGATGACTGTAACAACAGCAACAAAACGAATCTGCTTCAGCACATCGAAAAGCATTGAAATGTCAGTTCTGTCCTTGATGGAAACAGGAGAGAGGAACACAGCAAGTCTTCCATACCATCTATATGGGAGGAAGTTACAGAGAAGCCTTAAAGCAACAGTGGCCAACTGTAGTTTAATTCACCTCAGCTCTCCACATTAACTAAACACAGCCTTGAAGAAGGAAAGGGACTTGATTTATTGGGAAGTCTCCCAGACACACACAAGACTATAGGCTCCCTCCATTCTGTCACAGGCCAGCTCTGGAATTCCTACCTCATATGCTAAATTATTGCAACAGTAAATTAACCTTTTTGTTTAAAATCTTTACCTATTTCTACTTTGAACTCTGTTGACTTCAGCTTCTGGCCACTAGATCTCATGACCCCTTTGTCTGTAAGATTAGAGTCTTCTATTATCAGATAACTTTCCTTGTGTCGATAATTACAGACTGTGATCCAGTTACTGCTTAGTTTTCTCTTTGATAAGCTACATAAACCAAAATTTCTTTCAGTCTTTCATTGAGATCAGATGCTAGGACACAGCTGGTATCATGTATGTAAAATTAAAATGGTTAAGAACAATGAAGGCTCCAGCACCTCCTTGATTGAATGCATTCTGCTGCTATCTGATACATAATTTTTGGAAATACATAGGTTCTTAAGATACAGAGAGGAAATAAGGAGCAAAAAAACAACCAAGTTTAAAAAGCTATACGACAAGAACAGATTACCTGAGAGAGGAGTTTGAAATGTATATTGCACTAACCAGATCTTCAGCAGCCAGCAGAATTGCCAAAGAATTAATTTCTGAATTCAGGAATTCCCTTATTGTTCCAAAAACGTTTCTACTTGTTCTGCTTTTTTGTAAAGAAAAATGTTTAACACTGACTATATCATCTGTATTAACATTTTAGATGAGTCACAGTAACATATTTACCAGGTCTTGATATGCACCGCATCTTAGTTATTACAGATCAGCATTAAAAGTACA